CCCCAACGCACCCCCATGTGGCGTCGAGGACATGCCACGCCTGCTACGCCCCGGGAGCCTACAGCGCATAAGGCCCCCACCCCAAGCGCACCGCCTGTGGCGTCCAGGAAATGCCACGCCTGCCGCGCCCTGGGAGCCTACAGCGCATAGGGCCCCCACCCCCAGCGCACCCCCTGTGGCGTCGAGGAAATGCCACGCCTGCCACGCCCTGGGAGCCTGCAGCGCATAGGGCCCCCACCCCCAGCGCACCCCCTGTGGCGTCGAGGGAATGCCACGCCTGCCGCGCCCTGGGAGCCTTCAACGCATAGGGCCCCCACCCCCAGCGCACCCCCTGTGGCGTCGAGGGAATGCCCTGTGTGATGTGCTGTGCTGTGCTGTGCTGTGCTGCTGTGCGGTGAGCTGTGCTGTGCTGCGCCGTGCCGCGCTGTGCTGTGCTGTGCTGAGTTGAGCTGAGCTGAGCCGTGCTCAACTGTGCCGTGCTGAGCTGAGTTGTGCTAAGCAGTGCTGTGAGGAGGAGGGGAAGAGTGAGGTGTGCGATATATATATATATATAGAGAGAGAGAGAGAGAGAGAGAGAGAGAGAGAGAGAGAGAGAGAGAGAGAGAGAGAGAGAGAGAGAGAGAGAGAGAGAAGAGAGAGAGAGAGAGAGAGAGAGAGAGAAGAGAGAGAGAGAGAGAGAGAGAGACAGAGAGAGAAAGAGAGAGAGAGAGAGAGAGAGAGAGAGAGAGAGAGAAAGAGAGAGAGAGAGAGAGAGAGAGAGAAAGAGGTGGGTGGGAAACGCGGGTGCGACGCGGCAGAGAAGAAAACCATACCACCACGAAACATGTGGGGAAGAAACCAGAACCCCACGAAACATGTGGGGAACAACAGAAACCCCACGAAACACGTGGGGAACTGTGCTGTCTGTGCTGTGGGTGAGGGAGGAATGAAGAGGAGGGAGAGGAGGAGGAGGAGGAGGAGGAGGAGGAGGAGGAGGAGGAGGAGGAAGAAGAGGAGGAGGAAGAAGAGGAGGAGGTGAGACGCGGGTGCGGCGCGGCAGCGACGAAAACCATAACCCTACTAAACATGAGGGGGATTTCGCTACCGAGGAACCCCACATACCTAGTTTAAGCCGCGTGTGTTCGCAGACCCTCGTCGCCCATCTGAACCATTGCAGTCTTCATCGCCAAACATGGAGGTGGCAACGCATCCACGGCGATGTTGGGGGGCATGGCTGCCGCGCAGGCCGGGCGGTGCTCTTTAAGTAGGACTACAGGAGCGCGCCAGCGGGACAGCGCAGGCGCGCCGAGCCCGCTTGAGCCAAGGTGTTTACAGATCTTGACAAGACACAAGTTCCCACCCCCAGCGCACCCCCTGTGGCGTCGAGGAAATGTCACGCCTTCCACGCCCTGGGAGCCTGCAGCGCACAGGGCCCCCACCCCCAGCGCACCCCCTGTGGCGGCGAGGACATGCCACGCCTGCCACGCCCTGGGGGCCTGCAGCGCATAGGGCCCCCACCCCCAGCGCACCCCCTGTGGCGTCGAGGACATGCCACGCCTGCCACGCCCTGGGAGCCTGCAGCGCATAGGGCCCCCACCCCCAGCGCAGCCCCTGTGGCGTCGAGGAAATGTCACGCCTTCCGCGCCCTGGGAGCCTGCAGCGCATAGGGCCCCCACCCCCAGCGCACCCCCTGTGGCGTCGAGGAAATGCCACGTCTGCCACGCCCTGGGGGCCTGCAGCGCATAGGGCCCCCACCCCCAGCGCACCCCCTGTGGCGTCGAAGGAATGCCACGCCTGCCACGCCCTGGGAGCCTGCAGCGCATAGGGCCCCCACCCCCAGCGCACCCCCTGTGGCGTCCAGGAAATGCCACGTTTGCCACGCCCTGGGAGCCTGCAGCGCATAGGGCCCCCACCCCCAGCGCACCCCCTGTGGCGTCGAGGAAATGTCACGCCTTCCACGCCCTGGGAGCCTGCAGCGCATAGGGCCCCCACCCCCAGCGCACCCCCTGTGGCGTCGAGGGAATTGCCACGCCTGCCACGACCTTCGTGCATAGCGGCCGAGCTCAGGGACCACCCCCTGCGCACCCCCTGTGGTGTCGAGAAAGTGTCACGCCTGCTGTGCCTGGACGACCGTCTGTGCTGTGCTGTGCTAGTCTGTGCTGTGCTAGTCTGTGCTGTGCTGTGCTGTGTTGTGCTGTGCTCTGCTGAACTGTGCTGTGCTGAGCTGAGCTGTGCTAAGCTGTGTGCGTGTGTGTGTGTGTGTGCGTGTGTGTGTGTGTGCGTGTGTGTGTGTGTGTGTGTGTGTGTGTGTGTGTGTGTGTGTGTGTGTGTGTGTGTGTGTGTGTGTGTGTGTGTGTGTGTGCGAGTGTGTGCATGCGTGCGGCTGTATGTAGACGCGTGTCTCATGTACTTGCCGTGCGTGTTGTTGCATGTGTTGAGCGCGGGTGGGGAGAGGAAGAAGAGGAGGGGAAGCGTGAGGTGTGAGGGTGAGTGTCGCGGGTGCGGCGCGGCAGGGAAGAAAACCATATCCCCACGAAACATGTGGGGAAATAATCAAAAAAGATACCCAAATTGTCAAAGATATTCCTAACATCGTCCCCAGACTATTTTCTTTTATTTTTGAATATCCCTCCTATAGAGGGACAGGCCCCACTTAAAACCCTTAAAACCAGAGCGTAGGGCCCCCGGGGCGCAGCCTGGCGCGGGGGAAAGCTTCGACGGCTCCCCAGGCCAACGCCACTCGGCGGCGAGCGCAGGGGGGGGGAGTGAGAAGGAGAAGGCCTTCTTGAAGGGGCCCAAGGACACACACAAATACATACACATAAATCCAAAGATGTCCCATGCTCTTCAATAGTTTCGGGGTGTTCGTCTTCCCCCCCACCTCCTATATTTTCCCATATTTTCCTGGGAGTCGACGATTCATTGTGTCTGTGTGTTTCTCCCTCCGGACTTCTCAGCAGGCTCGCAAGTCCCTCGGCCTTCTGAGAAGTGTTCTAAGCCTTCCCGGATCAGAAGGCGCGAGAGCTTCTGAGAAGTCCCGCCGCCTTCTGGGAAGGCCTTCTCCTTCGCACTCCCCCCCTCGCTCGCCGCCGAGCCACGGAACAGCCCTAGGTGTCAAGGGGGGGGCCCCCTAAAAGGGGGTGGGGAGGAGGGGGCCTTAAGGGAAGCCTTCAGGGACCCATTTGGGCCCCCGCTGGCTCCCAACGGGGGCCCTGAGGGGCCCCTGTTAGGGCCCTTCTCTTCACCCCCCCGTTCAGGCCCCCCCCTCCCCTTGACACCCGCCGCCCGAACTTTGGACTGCTCCTTCACCCCCCATCTACGCAGTTAGGACCCCCCCCCCCCCCCTTGACACCCGCCCGAGCTCTGGGCCATTCATCCCTGGCTCCAGTCTCGGACGCGGCCTCGGTCAGCCCCCCCCCCCCGATGAAGCCCCCCGGGTGCAGGCCTGCAGGGAGGGGTGGCGAGGACGACCAGGGTGACGAGCAGGAGCAAGAGCTGCTCTACGTGGGTGGAGGGAGGTGAGGGGGGGGTGCAGTGGAGGCCAGTCCACAAGAAACCTTCCACGAGGAGCCCAACCCTGAGACCCCAGGACGTCCATCGATTCTTGGTGTGAGAACGTCACGCTTTCCATCGCAGAACCATCGAAATCCAGGAAACTCAGGGCACCCTGGAGGTAAGCAGGGTGGGTGTTTCTTGGCATGGACCCCCACTGTACGTGGGGAGAAATCGAAGGAGCCCCATCGATCCCGATGGAAAGCCCCAATCCATTCCGCCTCCGCATCCCACATCCTCCTTCCCCTCTCCTCCCCGAAAAGAAGGAGACTGGATGACGAATAGGGGTGGGGAGGGACGACGGACAACGGACAAGGAAGTGGAGCATGACACCGACGACAACCACCGCCACCGCAACGACCTCTAGAGAAGCCTTTGAAAACTCCAAAAAGTAAAGGTCCCTGAACTCTGGGGAGGCTCTGGAGTGCCTCCGGAGGCGTAAAGCGTGCAAAATGCGCGCCAAAAAAGTCGATCCCCGATGCACGCGGACGACGACGACGACGGCGACGAGTAACCACCACGGCGACTTGCACCCCAGGTCACTCAATCTCGCACGATCAACCCGCGCCGCTGCCCTGGAGAAGGGCACCTCTGCGGCCCCGGCCCGCGAGGCGCGATTGCCTTCGCGCCCACGTGGCACTGCTTGACAAAGGAAGCATGGAGCTTTTCAGAAGTTCAGCATGGAATCCACTCAGACAACATAGAGCTGTTTAGAAGTTCAGCATGGAGCTTTTTAGAAGTTCAGCATGGAGCTTTTTAGAAGTTCAGCATGGTGTCCTGAGACAACGAGAAAAAGCGGGTCTCTTGCTGGCCCTCCTGGTGAATGGGAAGGCCCCCCACCGACCGGGAACTGGGAAGAAGCCTCCAGGGCTCGAGTAGGGGATCAACTACAGAATTGATTTACCCCAAAATGGATCTGCAGTGCCAGAGGTCGGGGGCGCGCCAGAGCGCCGCGAGGGCTCGCGGCTTCGGCCGCGCGGCGAGACGTCGGACATGTGGCCACCGCTGCAGAGGCCCGCCCTCCCCCCTGTCCCACATGCACAAGCGCACACACGCACGCACGCACGCACACGCGCACGCGCAAGCGTACGCGCACACGCACACGCACACGCACACGTACACGCGCACGCGCACTTACGCACGCACGGACTTACGCACTTACGCACTTACGCACGCACGCACGTACGCACGCGCACGCACGCACGCACGCACGCGCGCGCGCACGCGCACGCGCACGCGCACGCACACGCACACGCGCACGCGCACGCGCACGCGCACGCGCACGCGCACGCGCACACACACACACACACACACTTACACACACACACACACTTACACACACACTTACACACACACTTACACACACACTTACACACACTTACACACACACACTTACACACACACTTACACACACACACTTACACACACACACACTTACACACATCCACACCCACACACGGCTGGGCCGTCCTCGTCAGGCCGCCGGGCGGCAGCAACGCTCTCAGGCGGTAGCGGCTCTCGCGCTCCCACGCCGGCATCTCCTCGCCGCCGCGGGCGTCGTCGTGGACAGGAACGCGACGGGCGCTCTGGGCTCGGTCTCGGGGCCGGGGGGCCTCGCAGATCGTTCTGACTCGAGAGGTGCCGTAAGAGGATGTGGTCCGGGGCTTTAGTCGTGGCTCTTCAGGGTGCTGCTTCTTTCCCGGGTTGCGACGTCGGACCTCACTGGTGCTCCCCCCCTGGAAATGAGTTGCTCAGCGAATTGGCATGTTCCCCCCCTCAGGCAGCGAGGACGGAGTCCAGCGAATTGACATGTTCGATGTCAGGGACGTCCAAGAGTCAGGGGGACGTAAGACCTGGGTACAGGGGACTCGGAAATCCCCGACGAGGTCGTCAAAAAAATGACGAGGCCGAGCCTGCATTTTGACGAGGCCTCCCGCTGCAGACATCCCACGAAACTCCTCCTCGTCAAAATCCGAGTCGCGGTCGTCAAAAAACGATGGCGAACCCGAGTCCCGGTAAACCCGGGTCTTACGCTCCCCCGAAAGAGGGGGTGCGCAAGAGGGGGGGCACAAGTCATGGCCAGCGGCAGGCACGCGCACGGCCCAAGGCGGGGCCAGGGAGGCATTGAAATACAAAAAGGCGCCATGAGATCTGGGGAGATATCATCTAGGGCTCCCAACTTCGCGCTTCGCGCTCCACGAAGCGCGAAGCGCGAATAACTTCGCGCTCTCGCGCCGCCCCCCCAAAGGGAGAAAAGGAGGACGAGGAGGAGGGGGAGGAGAAACGAGGACCGCGAAGCGCGAATAACTTCGCGCCCTCGGGGGAGCCCTTGTATCATGGTCCCCGCCATGATATCCACCACTCCTACAGTCGGAGCTCGACCACAGGAAACCTTCCACAAGAGACCCAATCCTGAGACCCCAGGACGTCCATTCACGAAAACCATCGAAAGGCAAGAAAACAAGGGCACCCTGGAATCAAGCAGTGTGTTCCTTGGCATGGTTTTCCACGTATCAAATTCAATCTGGGGAGATATCATGGCCCCCGCCATGATATCCCTAGTCGTCACCCCCCTCTTGGCCAACCCCGATTTTCTTGACGTCGACGCCCAGAGGCCTCGAGCTATCTTCTCACGACCCCGGGCCCCGGCAAGGGCTCCCCCCGAGAGGCCGAACATGAGGCAAAACCTCCTGTAGTGATTTTTTCCATGGCTCGAGGAGTGTCTGGGTCTCGAGCGGGTGGTGCTGGGGGGGGATGCCTTAATTTTAGGGTGGAGAAGAGAAGCTCCAACAGAGCCTTTTAGGGCCCCCTTTGGGCCAGCAGATGCCCAAAAGGGGTCCTCAAGGGCTCCTTTAGGGCCTTTCCTTCGCCCCCCCCCTTGGGTCACCCCCCATTGCCACCCGCCCGAGGGTCATTTCCCCCCTCCTGGCCGGCCCCGGCCGCTGCATCCGATCGTCGTGGTCTGTTCGATCCTGGCGCGCGTGTTCCTCGACCTCGGCCTCCGGGGGCTGCCCCTTCGCGCCCAAGGGGGCGAAGGCAGCCAGAGCAAGCCAGAGCAGGTCCCAGGGCGCAGCCCGGCGCTGGGGAAAGCTTCGACGGCTCACCTGGCCCACGCCACGGAACAGCCCCCTCCTGGCCGCCCCCGGTCGTAAAGCCCCCCCTAGTCGTGACCCCCCCTCTTGGCCGCCCCCGACGGTCGCGGCGTTCTTTCGGGGATCTGCTGACCCGGGTCAATCCAGACCCGGGTCAGTCAGGCCCTGCAGAATCCTTCAAGATCCTGCAGGATCGGGCACCCAAGCACGGGTCATCGCGAAGGATCCTGCAAGACCCTGCAGGATCCTGCACCCAAACACGGGTCAGAGCGGCCCGTGGCCCTGCAGGGTCCTGCGAGATCGGGCGCTCTGGCTGACCCCCTTTTGCGTTGACTCAGCCCCGGCTCTTCTCCAGTCTCGGCCTCCCGGGGGCGCTCTCGGGTCCCCGGGGGCCGCCGCGGGTGTACGATTAAGAGCTGTGCCCGGGGAAGCGGTCGGGAGCACTGGGGGCGCAGGCGGAGGAGCACAAACCCGCATCGTCGGACGATGAGGAGAAGAAGGAGGCGACGAAGGAGGAGGAGAAGGAGGGAGGATGCAGAGGGATGATGCGGAAGGAGGCGAAGATCCGCCGCCGCGGCTTCCTTCTCACCATCAGCGGTTTCATCCGCATCGTCATCATCATCATCATCATCATCATCATCATCATCATCATCATCACCATCACCATCACCATCACCATCACCATCACCATCTCCATCACCATCATCATCATCATCATCAGCATCATCAGCATCATCACCATCACCACCATCAGCATCATCAGCATCATATCAGTACTATCAATATCAGCATAAGCAATGTCATCATCGTCATCACAAACACCATCACCACCACCATCATCGTCATCCTCATCACAATCATCCTCATCACCAACATCTTCATCGTCATCGACATCATCATCACCATCATCACCATCATCACCTTCATCACTAGCATCATAACCAGCATCACCACCATAACCATCACCATCGCCATCGCCATCATGTTCAACACCAGCATCATCGTCATCACCATCATCAGCATCATCATCATCATCATCATCATCATCATCATCATCATCATCATCATCATCATCATCGCCATCATCATCCTCATCATCATCATCTTCATCATCCTAATCCTCATCCATCCCCATACTCCTCCTCCTCCTCCTAATTATCATCATTATCACCGAGACCACCGTCGCCACCATCGTCGACGTTGTCGGCGTCGTTGTCGTTCCCATCGTCGTCATCATCATCATCACCGGCACCAACATCATTATAATGATAATCACCACCACCATCTTCAGCATCCTAATCCTCTTCAACATCATCATTATCATCATCACCATCGAACAACATCATCATAAACGGCGTCGTCATCATAGTCTCAAACACACTCACCATCAGCATCATCATCAGCATCAGCGTCGGCATCACCATCATCGTCATCGTAATCATTAACATCATTATCACCATCGTAACCATCACCACCATCACCATCATAATCACCATCATCATGGCCACGACTACCGTCGCCACCATCGTCGGCATCGTTGACATCGTCGTCGTTGGCCCCATCATCACCATCACCATCACCATCATCATCACCGTCATCATCATCACCATCATCATCACCTCTACAACCGTCGCCACCACCGTCGGCGTCGTCGGCCTCGACGACGTCGTCCCCATCATCATCATCATCATCATCATCCTCATCATCATCATCATCGTCATCATCGTCACCATCATCACCGCGACCAGCGTCGCCACCATCGTCGACGTCTACGTCTCCTCCATCATCATCATCATCATCACGATCATCGTCACCATCATCATCACCATCATCATACACCGTCATCATCATCACCACGACCACCGTCGCCATCATCGTCGTCGTTGTCTCTCTCATCATCACCATCATCACCATCATCATCCCCACATTCATCATCACCGTCATCATTATCATCATCATCATCATAATCATCATTGTCACCACAAGTTCATCGCCACCATCGTCGGCGTCGTCGTCCCCATTCTATTAATCGCCATCATCGTCAGCATCACATCTATACTCAGCATCACCATCATGAATATCAACATGACCATCACCATCACCATCACCATGATCATCATCATCATCACCGCGACCACCGTCCCCGCCACCATCGGCAATTCGTCGTCGTCCCCATCATCATCATCATCATCATCATCATCATCATCATCATCATCATCACCATCACCATCATCATCATCAACATCATCACCGCGACCACCGTCGCCACCATCATCGTCGTTGGTGTCGTCGTCGTCCCACTACCATCATCATCACCATCACCATCATCACCATCACCATCACCATCACCATCACCATCACCATCACCATCACCATCACCATCACCATCACCATCACCATCACCATCATCATCATCATCATCATCATCATCATCATCATCATCATCATCATCATCATCATCATCTCTCGAAACACATGGGGTAACGTGCATGGGGGAGCAGGATCGAGCGAGTCCAGGAAGGGTGCAGGGGTCACAAGCTTCGCATTCCAACCGTGCACGCTTAGGCTCTAGCTGTTGTGCAAGCATGGGTGCTCAACTGCACCGCAGCGGCCCCTCGCGAGCCGACCGGAGATTCGGACTCGGAGCGATGGACTCGCAACAGAGAATCTTCATCCGCCAGGGCTGCCGGCGAGCGCGCCGCCTCCGCCCTGGCTGGACTTACCCGCTCAATTTTGTGGCGGAAGTAGCCAGCAGTACGCCGCTTCACATCTCGTGGCCGACTCTCACAGACTCACCAGCGGTGGAATGCATCTAAGCACGAGCACCTCGCGTCCTACGCAATCCCTTTCAGGAGTGTCTTCCGGACGTACTATCTGAATGGTTGTGGTCGCAGCGGTAAGCAGACAGCATTGACGTCCTCGCTCATCATAATCAGCATCATCATCATGACCATCATCATCACCACCACCATCATCACCATCATATCATCCTCATCCTGATCCTCATCATCATCCTCATCCTCCTGATCCTCATCATCATCATCATCACCATCATCATCATCACCATCATCACCATCACCACCATCATCATCATCGTCATCCTCACCAGCGCATCATCATCGTCAGCATCCTAATCTTCATCATCATAATCATCACCATCCTCATCATCACAATCATCATCAGGCTCATCAGGCTCATCCTGATCCTCATCCTCATCTGCATCCTCATCGTCATCGCCACAAACATCATCATCATCATCATCATCATCATCATCATCATCTTCATCAGCACCGAAACCATCATCCTCATCCTCGTCCTCGTCCTCCTCCTCCTCGTCGTCACCGTCGTCATCAATCATAATCATCGGCATGATCAGCATCGTCACTGCGACCGCGGTCGCCACCATCGCTTGCGTCGTCGTCGTGACCATCATCATCACCACCACCACC